TGAGGGTAGGTGCCAATGTTACCCTGGGATGAGGGTAGGTGCCAATGGTACCCTGTGAATAGGGCAGGTACCAGTGTCATGCTGGGGTACGACAAGATGCTTCACAGTTACAACTTGTAGTCAGAAGTATTAATGTAGCTGCCTACCCACCCTAAGGCTGCATTCACATCTTAGCATTCTGAGAGTGCTCACAAAAGCTTGCATTTTTGCATAGTAAAAAGGGTGAGACTGCCTGTTCCGAAAGGTCACAAATACTTTCATTCAGGCCGAACACCCCCCTGTTCAGTTTGCGGTCAAGCATTCAAACATAAAGAAAGTTTGACTTCGAACCGAGGGGACAATTCACTAAGCAGTATCTTGTGTGGTAAGATACCACACAGCTACTAAAAACATTCTTTATTGTTTCAGCTGTCAGCGGGGTTCCCCCAGCTATACCAAGCTCTTTGAGTCTGGTATAGATTTTGAGGAGAACCCCCATGCCAAAATTAAAAAAAAAAATGGCATGGGGGTCCCCCCCAAAATCTACATTAGACCCTTATCCGAGCATGCAGGTCAGGAAAGGGGGGGGGGGATAACGAGTGAACCATACCAGGCTACATGCCCTCATCATGAGGGGGGGCATTGGGGCAGGGGGGGCTCCCCAGATGTCAGGAATCAAGGAGTGACCAGAAAGGTGTGGACTGCCACAGGTAAACGCAGGTCTCAGGTACAATATAATACAGTTTATTATTAACCACCCAGATATATATCTATATAAACGCACAGTGAGCAAACCAACCTTCCACTAATCTTTAGGAGGTGCAGGAACACAGGCCTAGTCAGGGCTGGAGAGGTGGAACGGTCAGGCCGGCCGTAGGGTTCTGTAATGACCGTTGGTGGTACCTCTAGCGGTCCTCAGGGCAGGATTCCCCAGGGCGCGGAGTCTAAGCCCCAGTCTGCCTTTTCACCAGAGCCCCTGATGGTGGGGATGGACTTGGCGCAGGACTGAGACCAGGTCGCGGCCCCTGAGTACACCTGCTAGTGGTAGAGGGATCCGCCAGAGGTATGTGCAGGTACGGCTGGATCCGTGCAGGATGGATGGATGGCAGGGTAGTTAGCGTGGTCAGACAAGCCGGGTTGGTAACGGTAGAGGCAGATCAGTACAGAGCAGCAGGCAAAGAGTAAACGGGTCACAAGCCAAGGTACAGCAACAGGAGGTCAAACAGCATAGGAGTAGGCAGAAGAATAGTCAGGGATGAGACAGTAGTCAGAACAGGAGACGGTCAACAGAGATCAGGATCAAGCCGGGTCAACAACGAAGCAGGAACACAGGATACAGGTACAGAGGCTCATGGGAAAACATACACCAAGGCCCAGAGCACAGGCCTGGTCATGGCTTAAATACACCTTTGTGCAATCAGCCCCAGGTTTGGCTGATTGTGAGCTTCTGGCTGCTAAGAGCACCCGCTGGTCAGCTCTGGTACTGCAGCCCACACGGCAGGTGAGTCCCACCACCAGTGCTGAATCCATTGCTGAGAGCACCCGCTGGTCAGCTCTGGTACTGCAGCCCACATGGCAGGTGAGTCCCACCACCAGTGCTGAGCCACACGAGCACCCGCTGGTCAGCTCTGGTACTGCAGCCCACACGGAGGTGAGTCCCACCACCAGTGCTGAGTCCATTCCTGACAGTACCCCCCTCAAGGAGCGGCCTCAGGACGCCCCAAACAGTCCTTAGTGGGCAAAATGTTCCACCGCCTGGGTCAGGTAACTGGCTGAATATCCTACTGCCGGAGTAAACCGGCTGGCTGGGTTTCCTGCTGGTAGACTTCTCTTTGTGTAGGAGAACCCAGGAAGGCAGGTCACTGGACACAGGATTTCCAGGAGCAGGCTGGGAATCAGTTATTGGCCAGTTTAGCTGGACATCAGGGGCTGGCATGTCGGGCTGCACAGCAGGCAGAGGCACGTCAGCGGGCACCAAGTCATCTGGCACGACAGCAGGCACCGAGTCACCGGGCACGTCAGCAGGCACCGAGTCATCTAGCAGAACCGCGGGCACAGAGTCACCTGGCAAGTCAGCGGGCACCGAGTCACCGGGCATGTCAGCGGGCACTGAGCCATCTAGCAGAACCGCGGGTACCGGGTCACCAAGCACCAAATTAACTGGCACAACAGTGGGCACTGAATCAACTGGCACGACAGCGGGCACCAAGTCATCAGGCATCAGGTCATGTGGCTCAACAGCGGGCACTGGGTCAACTGGCACCGAGTCAACTGGCAGGATGGTACAGTGAGTGGGAGCAGGGTACTGACATGTGGTAGATTGCTGGGTATACTGGGCTGTCACTGGGGGGGCTGTCACTGGGGGTGCTGTCGGGAATGCAGGAAAAGAGCTTTGAGCAGAGGAATGATGAGAAATAGGACTGGTTTGTTGCAAGCTGATTGAGGCTGGGTGTAACAAGTCTGACCATGTCTGCAGTAAGGGTTGGACAACGCTCAGCTTACACAAGGCCTGTCTGGTCAAAGATTGCACTGCGTTTATACACTTCTTTAGCACATGTGGTGAACATGCTGAATAATGCTCCAAGAAGCAATCCGGATCATCCTCCAACAACCATACCAGTGATATTATTTGACTCGCCCTGAATGGAGGAAGGAATTCATCCCTGCTTTCCGGGGGTACTAGATGAAGCCAACTCAACACAAGCCTGAATCAATGGTTGCACCTCAGAGAGCTCTAGGTCCTGACCTACTAGGGAATGAGCGACCCGAATGCACTCTAGCAGCTGATCCCTGGTATACTCCCGCAGAGTCTGATAGGCATATTCTCTGTCATCAAAGACTAGCATAGACAAATATATAACCTCATCAGGATGCATCCTTCACAACAAGACAAGATGGCTTCCCTGTGCAGCCACTTCTGGTCAGGAAAGGCCTTGGTGTGATGTCAGGAATCAAGGAGTGACCAGAAAGGTGTGGACTGACACAGGGAAACGCAGGTCTCAGGTACAATATAATACAGTTTATTATTAACCACCCAGATATATATCTATATAAACGCACAGTGAGCAAACCAACCTTCCACTAATCTTTAGGAGGTGCAGGAACACAGGCGTAGTCAGGGCTGGAGAGGTGGAACAGTCAGGCCGGCCGTAGGGTTCTGTAATGACCGTCTGGTGGTACCTCTAGCGGTCCTCAGGGCAGGATTCCCCAGGGCGCGGAGTCTAAGCCCCAGTCTGCCTTTTCACCAGAGCCCCTGATGGTGGGGATGGACTTGGCGCAGGACTGAGACCAGGTCGCGGCCCCTGAGTACACCTGCTAGTGGTAGAGGGATCCGCCAGAGGTATGTGCAGGTACGGCTGGATCCGTGCAGGATGGATGGATGGCAGAGTAGTTAGCGTGGTCAGACAAGCCGGGTCGGTAACGGTGGAGGCAGATCAGTACAGAGCAGCAGGCAAAGAGTAAACGGGTCACAAGCCAAGGTACAGCAACAGGAGGTCAAACAGCATAGGAGTAGGCAGAAGAATAGTCAGGGATGAGCCAGTAGTCAGAACAGAAGACGGTCAACAGAGATCAGGATCAAGCCGGGTCAGCAACGAAGCAGGAACACAGGATACAGGTACAGAGGCTCATGGGAAAACATACACCAAGGCCCAGAGCACAGGCCTGGTCATGGCTTAAATACACCTTTCTGCAATCAGCCCCAGGTTTAGCTGATTGTGAGCCTCTGGCTGCTAAGAGCACCCGCTGGTCAGCTCTGGTACTGCAGCCCACACGGCAGGTGAGTCCCACCACCAGTGCTGAGTCCATTGCTGAGAGCACCCGCTGGTCAGCTCTGGTACTGCAGCCCACACGGCAGGTGAGTCCCACCACCAGTGCTGAGTCCATTCCTGACACCACCTCCAAAGCACCTTGTCTCCATGTTAATGGGGACAAGGGCCTCTTCCCGGTGGTTGTGGGGGTCTGCGGACAGAGGGCTTATCGGAATCTGGAAGCCCCCTTTAACAAGGGGGCCCCCCAGATCCTGGCCCCCCTCATGTGGCTTATTGAAATCCGGAAGCCCCCTTTAACAAGGCGGCCCCCAGATCCTGCTCCCCCCCCCTCATGTGGCTTATTTGAATCCGGAAGCCCCTTTTAACAAGGGGACCCCCAGACCCTGGCCATCCTCATGTGGCTTATTGGAATCCAGAAGCCCCCTTTAACAAGGGGGCACCCAGATCCTGGCCCCCCTCATGCGGTTTATCGGCATCCAGAAGCCCCCTTTAACAAGGGGGCCCCCAGATCCTGCCCCCCCTCCCACATGTGAACGAGCGTGGGGTACATGGTACCGCTACCCATTCACAAAAAAATGTGTAGTGTAAAAATTACAGTAGACAATCTGACAAGTCCTTTAATAAAAACAAAAAAATGTCCCTTGAAGTAGATCCAATGTCAATCACGATGCCCGCTGCCACCACTGATCCGAAAAAAGGGGAAAAAAAAAAGACGCTCCGCACCCGCCATCTGACAGCTGCATCGGCATGACAGTTCTTAAATAGTGTGATGATGTCACAAGGGGGTGTGGGTCATGGGGTCACCCCGCCCCCTTGTGACATCATCATGCGCTGTGATTGGCAAAGCTTTGCTCCTGACCTGAAGTCAAGTGCATTGCTGTGGCCAGTCATAATGCGCTGTCAGGGCATTATGCGGGGCGCTGTGGGTGAACAACGAACGTTCAACTTGAACATACAGCCCATCAGTAATGGTAAACAATGTGATGCGCTGAAACGCACATTTTTAAAAAGTTGATCTCCATGTTTTAGTGATGTTTAAATAGTTTCTAGACCCAGCTTTTCAGTAAGATCATTATTTGGGCTAATGCCCCCTTATTGGTTTGGCCCTGGACTTACCCATCACTGCGTCTCTTTTTGCAGGTGGAGGAGCTGATGGAGCAGTTTCTGCAGTCCTATGACATAGTGCTGGTCAGAGATGAGACACTGGATGTGGCCAATGGCATTCTTCATTTCAGTACCGCCAAGAACTAATCATCTTCCTACAAACTTTCACCAAACTACACTGTAATCATGCAGCCTGCCAGGATACCTCCCGACGCCGTGGGCGGGACACCCACAACTGACATCCTTCCCACTGGGCGGGACACACACAACTTACATCCTTCCCACTGGGCGGGACACCCACAACTGACATCCTTCCCACTGGGCGGGACACCCACAACTGACATCCTTCCCACTGGGCGGGACACCCACAACTGACATCCTTCCCACTGGGCGGGACACCCACAACTGACATCCTTCCCACTGGGCAGGACACCCACAACTGACATCCCACTGGGCGGGACACCCACAACTGACATCCTTCCCACTGGGCGGGACACCCACAACTGACATGCTTCCCACTGGGCGGGAGACACACAACTGACATTCTTCCCACTGGGCGGGACACCCACAACTGACATTCTTCCCACTGGGCGGGACACCCACAACTGACATCCTTCCAACTGGGCGGGACACCCACAACTGACATCCTTCCCACTGGGCGGGACACACACAACTGACATTCTTCCCACTAACGATTTTTAGTTAATGAATGATACTTCAGTAACTCCTTGGAACATAATGAAAGTTAACATTTGCTCAGTCGCTATGGGCAACAATAATTTTTAATCATTTTCAGCTTTTTTTTTTTTTTTTGCTTATGAAGCCCAGAACAGCTTAAAGTAAAAGAAGATGACTTCCAGTGTTTTCTAACTTTGTTTTTTTTTTATTGGCCTAACGGAAGGCAGAGGCTTTATTTTATGTGGTTAGACAGGTCCACTTTAATAAATTGCAGTTCAGTTTTTAAATGGTGTCTTTGTGATGATTGAACGTGCGTGTTTTATACAAGAAAGCTGTCTTATGCTTTATAGAATTCAACTCGCTTTTTAACCCCTTGCCTATCGGGCACTTATACCCCCTTCCTTACCAGGCCAGCTTTCAGCGCTGTCGCACTTTGAATGACAATTGTGCGGTCATGCAACATTGTACCTATATGAAATTTTTATCATTTTTTTTTTTCTTCACAGAAATAGAGCTTTCTATTGGTGGTATTTAATCACCCCTGGGTGTTTTATTTATTATTTATTTAAGGTACTTATATAGTGCTGTCAATTTACACAGCACTTTACATATATATTGTGCATTCACATCCGTCCCTAACCCTCCAGGGGTGTACAATCTAAGGTCCCTAACTCACATCATACATACACATATTAGGGCCAATTTAGACAGGAGCCAATGAACCTACCAGCATGTCTTTGGAGTGTGGGAGGAAACCGGAGTACCCGGAGGAAACCCACGCAGGCACAGGGAGAACATGCAAACTCCAGGCAGGTGGTGCCATGGTTGGGATTGGAACCAACAACCCCAGTACTGCCAGGCGGAAGTGCTAACCATTTAGCCACTCTGCTGCCCACTATTTGTTTGCGCTTTAAACAAAAAAAGAACAAAAATTTGAAAAAAAGTTTTTCTTTGTTTTTATTATAAAATTTTGCAAACAGGTAATTTTTCTCCACTGATGTGCGTTGATGAGGCTGCACTGATAGGCAGCACTGGTGGTGGCACTGATAGGTGGCACTTATGAGGCGGCACTGATGATGGGCACTGATGGGTAACACTGCTGGGTGGCACTGGTGGGCACTGCTGGGCACTTGTGGGCGGCACTGGTGGGTGGCACTGCTGGTCACTGATCATCAGTGCCCTGACATTTGCCGGTTATCGGCTGTACTTTCCTCCCGCTGTAAAAGCCCAGAACACCTGTAAAAGCCTCCCTTGTGTAGACATCCAAAAGCCCCAAGCCTGTTGATGTGGCCACCACCTTCGACGTGATGTTAGCAGACTCAGAGCTGTCACTCTATGTATAGTATTCCCCTTGCTTTTTCCCCAATGGCTACATCAATTATGAAGGTAGGTGAAGGAGCTGGGCCAGTACAGACAGTAATTGGACACTCCCAGAAAAAGAGGGGGCTGTGCTGGGGAATTGACTCTTCCTCGAGTAGTCACATTTTTTTTTCTAACAAATTTATAAGCAGATTATTACAATAATTTATGGAACAAAAGAAACCCTGCAAGTAAACATTAAGAAATGATTTTCTGTTTTTAACTGCAATTTTGCCCCATATTGGTAAAAAAAAAATTATTAATTCAGTTCATTAATTTCATAATTTAATTAATTCATTTTCATAATTTAATTCATTTGCGCTTATTTATACCTATGTTTAGATGGATATTTGATCCCTATTGTATCCTCTACAATTGTTCGGACGCATAGGCCAACTAAGTTCTTTGATATGGGGTAGTAGCTCCGTGAGCCTGACAGGGTGAGCCAGCATGTCCTTTTATACTTTTAATTATTATGTTCATTGTGTGGTTGTATGTCATAACTCCGTTGTTTATGGATATTCATTTTGATACATTATAGACTGTATTGTGGTTGAAGCTTTTCTCTCTCTCCCCGAAGAAGCCTTTGTTGGGCGAAACATGTAGGGAATTACTGCAACAATACAGCCAAGCTTCAATTTTTGTTTTTACAGTATTTTAATTTATTATTTTTCTTTCCCCTTTTTTTTTTGTAAGATTACATAAAATTTATTGTGGTTTTTAAATCTATCATTGTAAATTTGCACCCTGAAAATCTAGTTCAACAATTATGAAGGGAGGTGAAGGAGCTGGGCCAGTACAAAGAGGGGGCTGTGCTGGGGAATTGACTCTTCCTCGAGTGGACACATTTTTTTCTAAGAAGTTCAAAAGTAGATTATTACAATAATTTATGGAACAAAAGAAACACTGCAAGTAAACATTAAGAATTGATTTTCTGTTTTTAACTGGAATTTTTTTTTTTTAAAGTTAGTGACAGGGTCTCTTTAACCGTCTGCTAGTATATGATGTCTGACAGGAATGTCTGCAGATATCATCAATCATGGATGCAGTTATGAAGAAAATGTTCCTAAAGTCACTTTAGATTTGCATGTTCCTATCTCACATTCTCCTAATAAGAACTCGTTATCAGTCTATCATAGTGTGCTGTCATTTTTAGGTGAACATGGTGCTTCAGTCAAATTTTTTTTTTTTTTTTTTAATATTGAATTATGTTGGAAAGGGTTAAAAAAAAAGGACCACTTTTCTTGCTGCCTGGGTCCCTTCTGCTGATATTTCTCCTCCCATTTTAATAACAAAAAATAAGGGTAAACCTTGCAAATGGCACACAGATAATTAAAAAAAAAAAAAAAAAAAAAAAAAAGCACCTTTCCCCGATATGAGATAGAGTTCCAATATTTCAAAGAGTGGGGGTTATTTATTGAAACTGGAGAATGCAAAATCTGGGGCAACTCTGCACAGCTTCCATGTTCCATTGCCAAAGCTTAATTAAACAATCCGAAGTTAGAAGCCGATTGGCTACTGTGTACAGCTGCACCAGTTTTAGTAGAACAGAAGGGGGCACCAGCCTAAGTGCAGTATTAAAAACAAATTTATTCAAAAATAGCCAAATCACTACTGAAAACTGTAGTCTGGTTTTCCATGTGTTGCACGGCGTCCTCGGCTGACGGCCTGCGATTCCACACGATCCCTTGTGCCTGAACTCCAAGGGACCCCACATCTGCTTCTCAAGCTGTGTCCCGGGAGGATGTTATTGAGGAGCAGATGTGGGTCCACTGGAGCTCAGGCACAGGGGATTGTGTGGAATCGCAGGCCGTCAGCTGAGGATGCCGTAACCACTGTGGAACGCACGGAAGACCGGACCAGAGGCAACATCCAGTGGGAGTGCGAAGATGACCTGACTCATCCTCGCACTCCCGTTAACCTGACTCATCCTCACATTCCCATTGGATGTTGCTTCTGGTCCGGTCTTCCATGTGTTGCACGGTGGTTACGGTGACCTCGGCTGATGGCCTGCGATTCCACACGATCCCTTATGCCTGAACTCCAAGGGACCCACATCTGCTCCTCAAGCTGTGTCCCGGGCCGATGTTGGTCCACTGGAGCTCAGGCACAAGGGATCGTGTGGAATCGCAGGCCGTCAGCTGAGGATGCCATAACCACCGTGGAACGCACGTAAGACCGGACCAGAAGCAACATCCAGTGGGAGTGCGAGGATGACCTGACTCATCCTCGCACTCCCATTGGATGTTACTTCTAGTTTGGTCTTCTGTGTGTTGCACAGTGGTAGCGGCGTCCTCGGCTGACGGCCTGCGATTCCACACGATCCCTTGTGCCTGAACTCCAAGGGACCCACATCTGCTCCTCAAGCTGTGTCCCAGGAGGATGTTATTGAGGACATTTCGCAAATTGTACTAGTATGACCGGGCGCTAAAGCTGAACAGACTATGAGTGTTTAATAAAAGGGCAGTCCTACTTTTCTTAGTTAAGGGCTTTTGATAGCCCAGGTCACCCTTCAACATTTTTCCTAGGATAGAAGAAGGGACTGTTTTAAATTTGATTTCTGTCCATGCTCTGGTGGTCCATCAATCAGCATTGTTAACTGCCAGCCATTTATCAGCGACACCATGCAACACATGGTGTTGCCATGTCCTCATGCTATCTACATCATATAATGGCAAAGCCCAATTTGTAAAAAGGTACTGATGCTGCAGATGTAGATGGCACAAGGGGATCCCCACATGGAAGAAGCATAGGATTTTAAAGATATTCTTCCCAAATATATTGCCATATATTTGAAATGCTACAATTTTGGCCATATTCAATATATTTCAATAAATATATATACTGCATGGTGAAATGCGTTTATTACAAAATATGAAAAATATTTTTAAAAATACATTTCAAATATACTGTAATGTCTTTAAAAATACAAATCTACATTTTTGGAATGCATTTACAAATATATGTAAAAAGATGTTAAAAGTTACTTTGTTAAAAAAAAAAAAAAAAATCTATATATTTAAAAAATGTATATATTTTTAAAAATTTTTTTTTTTAAATATATTCTTCAGTTTTTTTAACATATAAAAAAGTCATTTTAACATATATTT